AAGATGGCCAAGTGGAAGGTTTACCTTATCTTTAATGGAAGCAGGGACTTGCTAACCAAGAAAGACTTCCTTAAGCAGCACTGTAACAAAACCCTGATATCAAACATGATTAAAGAAGCTTAGTTAATATAGACAAGGCTGCTCATTTTCTTATTTCTTATTTTTATTCCATGGGCTTCATTGCTCAATTAGGTTTGTCAGTAGGTTTTCCTACTTGTGCTGAGGCTAAGAAGTAACATGGTCAATCCTAAATTCTCTAGTGGCAACAGACTCCTCTGCCACTACTCATCTGGTCTCTTCCCCTGCTTTTCTTGCTATTCACCCCAGTCCAGCATCTGGCCTTGTCTCTCTTTCTCCAAGTGGTTGCCTCAGTCCTGTTTCTGTTCTCTTCCTGCTATCCTCCCCACATTGCCGGATCTTGACCCTGTCTACAACTCCTCCTCAAGTTTCCCCCCCATACCTATTCCTGTCCTCTCCTTCCCGTGGCTCCTGTTCCTTGCCTTGCCTCTTATTTTTCTTTCCTCCTATCTGATACTCCACTCTGCTCTACTACTATTCCTCCCTCCCATCTCTTTATCTTAATCCCATCTTCCATGTCACCTTGGAAACTCTTCTACATCACTCTCATTCCTTAACTCACTGTATTCAAGTCAGGTTGCTTCCTCCTGATATCCCATAAAATTTGGGTGCCAGCTGGGGGAGCACTGAGAAAACAGGCAAGTCTTTTCTCACTCTCCATTATTGTGCAATGCATCATAATGTTGGACCTGGGAGAACAATTGCAGGGAAAGCCCTTCTCTACCCCTAAAACCAAAGGAAGGAGTATGTTCGATTGACCAGTGGGGATGGCATTAAGTGCAGTCTGATCATAGGTAGAAGGTCTAATGCTATGAAGCATGCTCAGTGCTGACAGACTCTTTAGAATTGAATTAATAAAACAGGCCTCTCCTGAGAATTTTCACAGGGACAGGAAAAGGTACATCCTCAATAAGTGGGCAAAGCCCTTTCAGTAAGTCAAGTGCCTCTTCCAAAGCGTGGTACATTACAGATTTCAACAGAAGAATTGCAAGAACAACAGATTTCCCACTGATCTTGCTCTTGGAAATGAATGAACTAAATTTAGCTGGAGGGAAAAAAAACTGGCCTCCAGCAGATTCACAGCATGGGACAGTTTGGCAAAGTTACAAGCAACTGAAAACAGGATCTTATAGTGGAAAGTCCTGTGCAACTTTAACCATAGGCATCGCCATTTGCACAGTCTAGAACAAAAGCAAAACCCAAATGACTGCCTTTTTATTAAATCAGCAACGAATGCCTATTCTCTCCACACATTAAACACACAGTTTTCCACAGCTTGAGGAGGGAACATTTTCTATGGGAACGTAAGTTTCTCTAAAACTGACTAAACGCTACTTTGTACTGATGTAATAGGTCCTCTCGAAGGCTCTCAAAGCATTTGATAAATGTTAATGAATTAGTTCTGACAAAAGCTACGATGTAGAAGAGTGGTATCCCTGTTAGTCAAATGGAAGCACAGATAGGGTAAAATGAGTATTCAAGGTCTTGAGGTAGTTTTCAAACATGCCTAGATAATTTGGAAGACTAAGTCCTATTTTCAAGAATGCAAGTTAAGCGCTTAGATACTTCCAAAATATCTTTCTTCAATCTATTAGTCAATGTCTTCCCCTTAAATCGTTCTTCTGTCCTCCAAATCAAACCAAGGGGAACCAGGGAACTGTAAGGTGGAGAGGTGTCTAGTTATGGCATCTTATCACTGATGCTACCTGGGCTCTAGCAAACGGCATTGATATAAAAAAGAGGCCCAGAAAAGAAAGATTAAGAAAAAGCAAATACTTGGCAAAAGGAAATCAAGATAGCTGTCTTACTTTGCCAGACTGCAACAGACAGCTCGCAGCGGCTCATGATCCTTCTGTCTGATGTTGTTGTTGACCATGGAATCTAGTTCTTCACGAGCAAATCTCAGCTGGGTTTCTGTAACGCTGTAACTGACCGACTCCCGTGCACAGTCCTCAATATTGTGGGCTTCATCTAAAATGACTACCTGGCCTTTTAGCTTAATTTCCATCTACAGAAGAAAATAATTGTCCAGTAAGACAAAGTGAAATAGATAAGTAAGTAACAGCAGCAAGCAGGTTTGTCTTTTAAAAAAAAAAAAAAGTTATCCAGATTCTGTCTCACATTTGCAAGCAATAGAATTTTTTTTTTTTTTTTTTTAAAAGACCTTGATCAAATTTCTGCAGTACAGGAACTAGGCAAGTTCTTTTAAAGAAAGACAGAAAAACCCAGTGTGAATGAGAACAAAATTATAAACCTTTTTTTTTTTTTTTTTAAACACTTGTTTTCTACTATGTGAAGAATTCATACAATTAACTGGTTAAAATGTACAACCAGTAAAACTTCTACTTAAATGTTAGCTGGGGTATTATCGTATATACAGATTAAAAATAAAACCCAAAACAAACTGTAAACCACCTCTTTTCTACACTCTTTAATCTCTTTAATTTAGGTGATATATGTAATACTAGAAAGGATTTCAGATAGAAGGGTGGTTTTTTAAAGTTGGCGGTGTCTCTTTGATGTCATATTCTTTGTTCATCTCCATTTACCTTCAGTTAATACAACAAACAAAGGTCTGCTTACAAATATACTTACGCTCTCTCTTATTTGGGGGTCTAGGAGGTAGTTGTAAGGACAAAATACAATATCTGCCCCCGACATGAGCTCTCGAGCTGCAAAATAGGGACATGCCCGCAGTTTCTTTCCCAGGCTCACAAGTTCTTCTATGTCCCAAGCCTGACACGTCTTACGTACAAACTGTAGTGTATGTTGCTCACTTAATTTATGGACACTATGGTAATAAGAACAGGAGCTGCCCTAAAAGTAAATATGTGTAAGTAATTAGAAGTTCAAATATAATAAAAACAATGGTGAAAACTTTTTTTTTTTTTTTTTTTTTTAAAAAATTTTTTTAAAAAAATTTTTTAAAAAAAAAAAAAAAAAATGGAAAAAATTTTTTTTTTTTTTTTTTTTTTTTTTTACATATTTTGTTAAAAACATCATCGTGCAAATTTTTACTTCACTTAAAAAATACTTAGAAAGTGTTGCTTATTATTTTGAATGATTCTAGTTACAAATAACATGTCAGAAACAAAAGTATAACCTCTCAAATGTAAAGGAGTAAAGCATCTTTCTCCAGTGGAATCAAAAGAAGTCTTTAAATTTGTTTCAGGAGTGTTAACTCAATGGTTGATTCAAAAAATCAGCAAAAACAGTATAAAAAATTAACACAACATATTTAGGTTCACCACAAATAAATTAACGCACTCATACCATCACGTTTCCAACCAGAGGTATCTAATGAATTTTAATCAATATTAGAATCCACTTTAGCCTGTTCATGTGCACAAGTCTCTTTGGTAACAGCTCAGGAGGACTTCAGTTTGTTTAACAGTGAAGGTAAAATTATTACTAAATCCATGATTTTGAAACCACTCCTTCTGCTGGTGCTCAAGCGTGTGAACACAGTACACCATCCTGGGGTATTTGGGTTTGGTAGACAGGCAAATCTAAATGTATGGATCAAATCTCACCTGCAAGGTACAGGGAGACTTGGGAAATTTAACACTGATTAACAGAGCTGCTCTTAAGATATAAAGTGCCCTTTACTTCTCTGCTCTAATCAGCCTGAATGCCACTTTTTTGTTTGTCTTCTTTTATTATAAGTTTAGTTTCTATGAATTAAATAATATAGTTCTCATAATAAAAATATAGTATATAATTTGACAATAAGCACACCAAGTGGAGAACAGATTCCTGGAAAGATATCCTTTGACGGCATTTAATGCTGCCTAGGCACATGAAGATTGATAACCAGAACAGGAAAACTCATCCCTTTTTAACACTGTAACACAACCCTAAGGGGAAAGTTGTCAGTTGAAGTGTTATCACACTTGGTGCTTTTTTCCCTCACAAATTGTCAGTTATCTATTTATCAACTCACTTCTGTAATATGGTCTTAGTAAACACAGACACCTAGAGTGACAGTGTAATTGGCCCTCATTACCACTACAACTTACCCTTAGGGCTCAAGAACATGAAAAGCAAATATTCGCTTACACTTGAGTAAAAATAAACTTGAAGTCCAAAAGACAAACAAAATTTAGGTCTTAAAAGAAAGACCACTGGAGAGGAAAAAAGAAAGAAAAAAGAGAGGGGGAAAAAGGGAAAAAAAAGTCTTTGTTTTACGAGTTTAGATTGCTAGATGACTGAGCTGCACACTGAAAAACAACAAAAAACTAGTTTAGAAAAATATACCAACATTATTGATACCTTTTGCGTGCTGTATATTCATGGAACACTTTGTCATTGTCACTCAACTAATTTTCCTACCTTTATGATGATTGCATCTGTGCTGCTGACCAAAAAAGGGGGGAAATTGTTTATAGTTTTTAAACTTTCCCATGCTGAATACAGACAGCTGGGAAAAAGTTTTCCTATTGGTCATTTCCTATTGTTTTTTTCCTGGGATAAATAGACACAGAGAAACCAGGCCTGAATACCTGATTTAATAATTATGAGAATATCCCTCTTTTTTTAAAAAAGAAACCAGCTAAGTTTTGTATAGGCAAAAATGTTATTACAGCTATAATTAATCTCTCAAATTCAATCAAGCGCAAACATTATTCATCATTATATGCTTTTAAAATGTTGATGATACGAATCAAAATGTAGTAATGATTAATGTAACTAAACTAAAATGAATCAGTTGAAGTGTTGCATCTTTGAGGTGTTACAAAAAGGCTTCCAACCAGCCTTGCATTGAGAACTTACAATTTTACTCAGTCAGGCTACCTAGACAGATAAATCTTTGTTCTAATGTTTTTAAATGAATATTAGTTTTCTGAAATAGAACTACTCACATGTTTTCCTTCCAGCAACTCTACACACTTTTCGTTCCTGTTGCCACTACTGGACACCCTCGGATGAATGCAAGTATGATCCCGGCTAGAAAGAATTGTCATACGGGTGCCAGAGTATGCCGTCCTTCGCAGCTCTCTAGTAATCTGAGCTATTTGCTTGTGTGTTCGAGTTCCAAAATATATTTTGGGGATGAGTGGCTGTCCTCCATTTTCCTTCCTCTTTGTATTACTAGCATCTTTACCACTTTCTTTTGAAGAACAGGAACACTGAGTACAAAGGATAGGAGACTGCAACCAAAACAAGATAAGGCTTAAGACAAAGCGCATGTACCAAACCTCTGCATGAACTATTCAGAAGTTTTCCTTTAAAATAGTTCAAAACATCCCACTAAACCACAAGTTCAAGGTATGAGACACTGAAGAAGGGACTCAGATTACAGGTTGCATTACAAAAATCTAAAGATAGTTTTTAAATGTGTTAAGTCAAAAAGGGAACAGTACAAGAAAATCATATGTCACAAGTAAAAAAATTATGTGATTACCAAATCGGCCAACTGCTCATTCTCAGAACATTCTTTGATACTCCGTAACAGATTTGTTTAGTTTAACATGCTACTGCTTGAATTGAAATGAAAGGCTACTATGCTTCTGTAGTGAAGTTATTAAAGTGAACCCATCGGTACCAAACTTGAAGCACATCTTTGGTTCCAGTGGCAAGGTTTTTTGTGATACCTTTCACTGGACCCACTTTCATCAGTTTATTGTGTTGCTTCAGAAAAGGAAACAGAATTTCAGGTTTTACAAAACAAGAGGAAAAACTTTGTTTCATTTTTACTGTCATCAAGTATGGCAAATCAGAGGGAACTGACCAATGACACAGATCATTATTATCCAGGGAAAAGACACAGCAGTTCAGTACCAAGTCATGCAGGAGACCTGGTGTTAAGAGATCTCATGCCTTGAGAACTGAGGCAGAACATCTTACGCAAGGGATACATACTGCCCTTCAACTCGGATGGTAACTCTTTGTTTTACAGCAGAACAAAAGAGTGAGAAACAATAGTGTGGGGTCTAAACATTTATTATTTGTTTTAACTTGAACAGGTATCTACAAACTGTTCGACTGCTAAAGGAAATCAATTTTCCATTGAGGGCTTGATCTTAAAGGGTGCTGAGTACTTGGCTCCAATCCAGTAGAGCACTTAAGTAACTGAGTCACACAAGTGAAGTCAAAAGGATTTCTCACAAACAAAAATTTGAGCATGTGCTTAAGAGGTCTGCTGGAGCAGGACACAAGCATGTAGTGCCTTGCAGGAATGAGATCTGACTGGATGCTCAAGTTAAAATACTAGGAGCTATGTTTTAATTTTATTTCATCTGCAAATCAAATTTTGTTGCATTAGATGCATAACATATATTCCATTAGTGATACTCCATCATCCTATTATGCCATGAGCCAATTAGAGATGAACCAAAGGAACAGGCACTGTAGAGTTCTCTAATTCTTCAGTAAGACCTGAATGGTGGAAAAAAATGTTTTGCATAATAGGACAGCTGATTTTTTTATTCTAATTACTTTGTTACTGAGAAACTTAATATTCCCAACCTCTCCCAAAAACAAACTACTAAGACGACCAAAGAATCTTATAATTAAGATGAGAGTAGAAGGGGGACAATGAAAGAAATCTGTACAAGTATCTGCTACAGTCAAAACCCAAAAAAAAATCAAACAGTATATCTGACTACTGTAAAATAGTTTATACTTGAATTTTACTTTGATAGTACTACAGCTGAAAGATTTTTTCCTCTCAAGTGTAATCAGTATGATTATCCTTCATAAACAAATGCTAAGTCACGGCGTGTGTTACACCACAATACTGGGGATCAAGCTGCCTCTTAGCCTCCACTCTCTGGAAAAGCAAGTTCAAATTACCCTCAGTCCCACTCAACCTTGTCCGCCATTAAATATTACAATACATGATAGAATGGATGTAAATGTGACCCTTCTGGAGCTGTCACTCACTGGGATAAAAGGTTCACTGATGTGCCAAATAAACAGGCCGTCAAAGCAGATAAAGTTACACCCATGCTGGAATTGTTACATTCCCCTCTCAGGTTGCCAGTAACAGCAGATTTCATTACGGTGTGCTGCCACATTAAATAGCCAGTTCCAAATATCCTGCCTTCTATATTGAATAATTACTTATTCACCGAAAGGATAAAAAGACGAGTTATGAATGGGGCTCTTGTCAACAGCGAAGCAGGAAACAGCTGACATGTGGTGTATGTTACATATGCGGCAATACCCGACTCAGTTTATACTTGCACAGAAAACTGGAATGCAAGTTATATCATGATATTTCTGTCTATATTCCATCTTGCTCTTTGAAATAATGATAACACTTATTAACATAGTAAGAGAATTAATGTAACTTTAAGCTACAGAATCAGTTTACTTTTGCCTACTGTGCACAGCTTTTAAGCACATACCTATCCTTTCCACTTTAATTCAGTTTTTTTCCAAGAGATGATGTAATATCATTAATCCTTCATGAAAGGATAATGCTGGGCCTCAGCTACAGTGCAACTCTATTTCACTAAATATAAACAGTAGAGAAATGCAGAGCAATACAATTCCCCAAAGCAAAGAAATACCAGTTGTCCTGTTTTTTAATACATTCAGGAGGACAGCAAAAATTCAGTTAAAATTCTCTGCATTGAAGGCCAACAATGGTAATTCCTTCAATGGTAGGTTTAAAAAAAAAAAAAAAAAAAAAAAAAAATCAAAGAAACATGTCTTTTCATTAAAAATATTTAAAAGGTAAAATTAAAAGTACAGTGTCTGCATGCGTGTGTGGGGGTATATAAATTACAGTACTTTACAGGTGGCCTTAAAAGTTTTTCTTAAAAGGTTTGAAATTGGCATAATACTGGCTTTAAGAAGCACTTCACCCACTACTGCAGCTTTCAAATGTTACCTTTTACTGAAAAATCAACATCAGGAAAGTTGTAAACTTGGGCTGATTTTATAGTAACCAGTAAAAGTATAAAACTGCCCCGCAGTAGTCATAACATTTCTGAAAGCCACAGACGCCATCAGCCAAAAAAATTTTAAAAAGGTCCTGTATAATGAAAAGAAACATTAAGAAAATGGTTACAAAGTTGAGCTCTTTGTTTCACTTGTTTTATTAAATTGGAATTTCTCCTTTTAAACTCCTCTTTCTCTGTTAGAATTAATTTTAAAGTCCCCTTTTAGGAAAGATCTTTCAGAAGTATTAAAAAAAGCCTGTGTTATCTGAAGTACTTCTGGATTAGCCATTGTCACATCAAGAAAGTCTTTATAATACAACTAATTTTCCCATTTTTCATAACTTGTGTCATAGGTAATTTAAAGTACCAAAATGCAGCGTGTGTTTTCATGTAAGCTGCTCCCCCCAACCCTACTCATACAGAATGATTTTATGACCCACATTCATAGAGCTACAAAATTTCATGCTTTCATGTTGGAATTTTTCCACCTTTATTTTCTAATAAGGCCCTCTCTTTTAAGTTAAAACATCGATTCCATCTAATTTTAACTAAAAAAAAAAAAAGTGTCATTTATCAATTTCTTTAAGCCTACAAAATTCATCTTCTTTGAGGAAGGTAAGTTTGGGGCAGTATCCTTGAAGGACGAATATACTGTGAATACCGCACATGAAGACGTAAACTTTTTTCTTTACATTTAGAAATAAAATTGTTGCATGGATTTCCAGAAATAAGATCTCATATTTCTGTCCTCAAGGACCCAAAAAATCCTCTAGAAATAAAAAAAAAATCTAAAAGTTGCCATGGAGTTTAGATAAACAGTTA